GGCTGGTTACTGGAGATGAAAAGTGGATTCTTTACGAGAATATTAAAAAAAAAAAATCTTACTACTGCAAACCAGAACATCACATCATCAGCAACAGTTCCAAAACCAAGTATCCATCAACGAAAAGTACTGCTTTGTTTGTGGTGGGACAGGAAAGGTCCAGTGTGTATTACGAGTTGCTGAAACAGGAAAAAAAAACATCAACGCGGATCTGTACTGCAATCAGCTGGATAAATTGAATGCAGCTATCAAAGAAAAAAGGCCAGCATTAGCGTCCAGAAAAGGAATAGTGTTCCATCACGATAATGCTCGCCCGCATACTGCAGTGGTGACACTACAAAAACTGAATGCGTTAGGATGGGAAATCCTTAGTCACCCCCGTATTCACCTGACATTTGCACCTCTGATTATTACCTGTTCAGATCTCTGCAAAATTATCTAACGGGGAAAAAAATTCAAGTCTTTTGAAAGTGTTTCTAAGGCAGTTGCTGACTATTTTAACTCCATGGATGAGAACTTCTACAAAACAGGAATTTACAGGTTACCTGGAAAGATGGCAACAGGTTGTAACAAATAACGGAGCATATATAATTAATTGATTAATATTAAACACATATTTTTATAATTCAAATATTTTCTTTAAAATACAAGAAAACTTTCCCTCCAACCCAATATTTTGCTATAAGGTGATTTTCTATTTTACTGCATTGTTTATTGATTTCCAAATTTTGCTTTTCAGAATTATATAAAGACATATAATGAGGTTTACTGCATAATTCACAACAAAATTTTATTCTGCAATCTTTCTCTATATGCCTCTTCCTGAAGCATTTGTAACACCAACCCTGCCCTTTTAGCTTTTCTCTTTCCAAGCCTATGTCAATATTTGACACAGTTTTCTGCATCGTGGGTTTGTGACTCACAAAATAAACATACTTTAGACACGGATGATACGGTGTAAATCTTTTCGCTAGTCCATTGTTTATATTCGCATCACTCCTGGCAACGATCTACACCTATACATAAAGGCTTGTTGGGGGTGCTATACCGAAACTCTTAAGTTTGTATAGCCATTCTATCAGCTGCATTAAATGCATTTTCTCTCTCTCAAGCTTGTAGTTCTTTTATGAGGAATTCTGGAAATTTATTTATATTTAAACATGCCTCATCATCATTCATATGACTATTCTAATACTAAATCTGCTGCAGTTACTCTATATAAAGCTGGAATCAACATATTGATTGTCAATTCCAGATTGTTGTTCAGAATAAACATTTAAAGAAGAAAGATTTCAAACTTGTATTTCTGTAATGTCATATCATTTTCCTAATTTTAAAACATCATTTGATGGGTAAACGGGAAAGAGATTTAGGAGTAATTGCATATGTGCATTTATAACTTTGCATCTTCCAAATCTAGTACAGTCAAAAGTCTTTAATCCGGACTCGTCGGGACTTCGGTGATTCCGGATTATAGATCATCCGTTTAAATCTGGTAAGATGGCATGCAGAAATTATAAAACTAAAAATATGAAACCCTAATTTATGAAATAAAAAACAATTATGATCTAAGGGGTATCAAAATTTACAAAAAAAAAAAGCTTTATATTTATTTGTTTACTTTATTAAACATCTCTTTCAACACGTGCATGCGTAAAGCATGCATTACACATAGTCGCAATTAGAAAATTGCAACCAGAAAACTATTTGATGTGTATTCGTGATATTTATAATGGCGAGGAATTTGATTTAAATCATATTAAAGATGGAGTACATCGAGATGAAATACTACATTTAGTAAGGAATTATAAGCCAAATAAAATAAAAACATCTGCCCTGAAGATAAGGATAGTGCTGACCGATCAACTTCCAGTTCACTGTGCGTCGCGACGTCCCCCCCTCCCCCTGCAGAGCAGTGTGAAATTGCTAAACAGATTTCGGAATGGTTAGAGAATCAAAGAATATGCCTTTATCCATTTTTTGCAGCAATTCCACTTTTTGTTTGATGGACATTGAAACATGCTTTCACCTTTGGCAGCTCCAGAATCGGAAATTCTTTTTGACATAATCGAAAGTTGAAGCTTACTTTTATAAAATTGCTCTAACAGTCTGCAAAAAATAATAAGCCGGATCCAATTAGAAGATTGAGGAACAACGCAATCTGCAACATTAACTGAATTAGATAATTTCAGCTTAGCTTACACCATCCGTTATACATTAAATACGCATGTGTAAAGGTATTATGCACGTGCATCGACACATTACACGTGGACACATGCGCAGAAATTTTGTAGCTTTGAGGTCCGGATTAAAGACTTTTGACTGTATATACAATTTGTATTGTTACGTTTTAATTTCCTTCAGATATTGAAAAACTTTCTATTACATTGATGGCAGTTCCAGTTACGTCGGATTTTAAGCAATTAAATTTTTCTACTCTCGAGAGGGCAATATTGTCCTGTATCGTGATTTTGAATGAATTCCAAAATTTTATCCATTGGCAGATGTCGCCATAAAATTTGGAAATCTCTAATTTTGGAAAACAGACTTAATGATTTTCACTCTTATGTTCAGTTGACCAAGTATGCAAGTTTGTTTTGTATTGTTTTAGACTTGATTTTAAATATCTATTTATTCTATATTTACATTTATTTTAGCCTTATAACTAATTCAAAGTTCTTTCATTTATTCAAAGAACTTTCAATTTCTGTTTCAAGTTTCTTTTCATCATCTAAATTTTACAGTTCTTTTTCAGTATCATTATTATTTTTTATATTGTGATATACATTGTTTACAATGTTAGTTATTGATATTCTGAAAACCCCACACTTTTTTTCCAAGTCCCATATTTTATCCATTTTAACATAAACAGTGTAAAATTCTTACCTTTAGAAGTATTTGTACACTTTATAATCTGATTCAAAAGTAAAGATAATCTATCTTAAGACACCATTATCCTATTTCACTTTTTGATACCAATTTGTTGTGATATGACAGATGATTGTAGGTTCTCTTCATAATTTGCCATCAAACATCAAATAATTTTGTGCTTTTTAAACATTTTTACTCAGAGAAATACAGTACAACAACTATATCTTTCATATATCTCAGAAATCTGTTTTTAAGATTTTCTGCTATTTTTAAAACTGTTTAGTGTGTTCTGTTTTTAGTTACAATGCAATAATCATTCCGACGTGTTCTATTTTATTGATTTTTTCTGCATTTCGCTGGCATTGGCATCCTTGCTCTTTGCCTCATAGTCATTATTAGGAAGTGCAACAATTATTGGTATCAGAATTTTATAATTCTCCTTTAAGACCTTATTTTGGCTAACCTGCCTTTACAAATCAGAGGTTAAGTTACAAATTGGTGCAAGGGTCAGAGGAAATTTATTTTAAAATTTTTGGAGAAACCTTGCTAATTGCTTCATCAGTGAAGTGCAAGAGATATGGCTGACGGATGAAGTTTGTTAAAAAAGTTAATTCTGAGGACGGTCGCATATGGATGGTATCATAATTGTGATGGAATTTTTTAAAAAATGCCGTAACGTTAAAAAAAGTATTACATATTCCTCCATTTTTACTGACAGTTAACTTTCAGTTGCTGTCATTTTAACTCTGGTATATGAAATATTCATGGGTTCTTCATAAAAAAAGAATTCAAAATGAGCTTGGCATTTTTTTCAGAGGCTGAAGCCAACTGATGCAGTTATACAACCAGTGTTTTAGAGAATTTTGTAGGAACTAAAATGGAGAAGATCATGGGGCCTGGGAAAACTGGGGAGACTGATGAGTCTAATTGGGAAAAGAAAGTATAATAAGGTTCGAGTGATTGGAGGGCAGTGGGTTTGTGGGGGGGGGTAGAGTGCGTTCAGGTGGCTGTTTTTTGGTTCCTGTGGAAGAAAGATCAGCAGATACTGTTCTCGCTTTAACTAAGGATTGGATCGAACTGGGAACCCAGATTATTTAGAATTGCTGGAAAGCTTATGACTGTTTGAGAGAAGAAAGTTTTAATCACTTGCAAGTTAACCATTTACTCTGTTTCATAGATCCTGAGACTGGAGCTAGCACAAATACTGTTGAAAGACAATAGCATGACTTCAAAAACTTTTTGCCTGTTTACGTTCATCGAGGAAACTTTGAAGGGTACATAGCCTAGTATTTGTTAAAGAAAATTTACTCTTCATTGAATGAGCATCCTTATGTCAAATTTCTCAAAATTGTTCAAAATATAAATTAGCTGATAGGCATATAGTTCAAGGAGGAGTTCTCCATTAATTTGCCTGTAAATTGTTTTTTTCTATTTATAATTTTTTTTTTTTTTTTTTTTTTTTTTAAATTCCTGCCCTTGCTTTTCATTTTTTAAATTTTTTTCATTGAAATCTAAATTATGATTCGGATTTTTTTAATGATGGTACTTACTAATATATGCTTAAAAGTTATTGGACACTATACAAAAATGTTAGTATATATTTTTCTATGGCTGTGCTATTTTGTATTGTCACAGATGTTTTATATTTAAATAATTGTATTATATAAATATTACTTTATTTTGAAGTACTTCAAGTAACATTTTAATCTTATTAAATGTTTATGCAGTGTTTTTATTCTATTTCTTTGTCATAAAAGTAATAATTTAAACTTACTTTAGTATATTATTTATATTCTTAGTAAATGTATTTATGCCTGCCATCTTGAAAAACGTTTTCAACCAAAAATTATTACACTATTTAAACTATATTGCATAATTTTAAACTTTAGAATATTTTGCTGTACTTAATGGCATTTTTCAAGATGGCTGGCAATTGTAAAATCAGCAACAACAAGTGTGCTAAAACAAAAGTACGGAAACCTGTGCGCCCATCTACCAAATTAGCACATTGGAGTTGTAACTGAGGTTATAGTATATTCATTAATTAAAGAACTGTATTTTTATTCATGTCTATGTATGTGTAATGATTTCTTAACATTATGAACTTAATTTTCTAACTTCCTTCTCAGCAGCCTGTCTTCTCACAGGGAACTACTCCAGTTGTGGGAATGCTTGCTCCTCCCCCTCCACCACCCAGTCTGCCATCAGTATCACAGCCAGCTTCAATCTCTACAACTAATTGGATTACTCCACCAACTATTACGCAAGGTAAATTTATTTTAAAAAAGTTGTTAAAGTGCAAATGATCATGCTCCATGTGAACTAATACAGTAGTTCAATTTTAAATGTATTAAGGATTTTGAATTACTGAAGTGATTTAAATCAATCATAATGCTTGCTATATGTTACAGTTACATTATCTTCCCTATGGTGATATTTTTTGTATTTTTAAAATAAATTTGTACAATAGAATAAATTTACTTCTGTGGAAGCTTTTTTCAAAAATAATCTTTTCTTCCGTACATTTTATATTGATATATAGTTATGTAATTGATATGTACAGGGTTTGTACGGTCTTTAAGAGTCCTTAAAAGTCCTTAAATTTTTTGGCCAAAATCAGTAGAAGGTTCCTTAAATTTTAATCATCTGAAATTTCTGTCTGTTTTTACGACTGCCATTTTGAGTGTGAATTAGCATTTTTGGAGGAATATTTTTGGCGATTCACTGACGTATATGGTTATCTTTTGAATGGGTTCATGGCTTTATAAATTTGTTTCTATTTCTAATATAAATGAGGGGATACTCGAGTTTTCTAAGCAAAAGTGAAACATAAGCATTTCGAAATTCATTTATTGTAATAAAGAGCTCTTAAACAATTTTCGCTTTTGGGAATGTGAATTCTTTTATTAAACGGTTCTAAATTTGGTGCTTTTCAACATTTTGGCGATTTTTAAGACCAATTTCTATAGAAAATTTTTAATTCTGAAATCAAAATTTTTCGATGATTTTTTTTTAAAAACATCATAACTTTGATAAAAACATTAAAATAAAACATTTTTATTTTCTGCTGTCATATTATAAAGTTTCATTTTGGCAACTTATAGTACGATATTTTGAATCTGAAAAATAAACAAGGTATAATGCTATAAGCACAATTTATGAAACAGCTCTTAGCAAAAGCAAAATTCTATGTAATTAATTAAAATAATTCTTTTTTAATTTTTTTCATATAAGAGCTTTTTCCAGTAATTGTCTCGAAATATTGAAAATTCTCAGAATATGCATCAGTTTTCTCTATAAAGTAATTTTAACTTTTCCCTCCTTTTTTTTTTTTTTTTTTTTTTTTTTTTTTTTTTTTTGAAAAATATTTCTGGCTTTTTGCTGTTACAGAATTGGTTGGGATAATTTTTCTTAGTATTTTTGACATTGCAGTTTGGAAAATTTAGAAGGATTTGAAGGCAAGATTTATAGACCCACGATTCTAGAAGATTCGAGAAATGTGACAAATGTGAAAAATGTCTCCATGGTATCAACACACGTAATGGATGTATTTTACAGAAATGTTTGCGATGAATTTCTTACTTTTTGGAGAACATCTGGAAGAACAATGAAACATGGAATAATAATTTGAGGTTTTTACTTCCTGATACTAAAATCTTTTTCTTAACATGTTTATCTTCCTTTATTTTCTCTACTTTTCACTAGACAAGCATGGAAATATCAAAAATGCTTCTAATCTTATCATTGGGAAGGCATTTATAGAAAGGAATTTTTTATTAATAAGAAATTGAAACTTACAATTAAAAGATCCATCTAATATGCCTTAAGGCAGCATACACAGGCTGGCATAGCATTTTTCCCCTGATGCAATTCGGTGGATCCTAAATTTAAACGTTTGCTATTTCTAATTTTGTGTTCGGGTGTCACTAAATTCTAAAAATTCTGCCACACCATCTTTGTCACCGGGCTTTACCATATATATTTCATATTTCTTCTGAATTTCATATTACGTAAGAAATAGAATTAGCCCTTTTTCTAATGCATTCTAATGTATTAGTATTTTTAGAATCACAGAAAAAATTAGATCCAAAAAATTCTAAAATGAAAAGGAACCGTTGTGAAGAAAGAAACTAATACATAAAGCAAATTCTCCTCAAAGATATTACATGTAACTTACCCAATTTTTTATAATTTAGCCTTCAGTTTAATCAGTCAGGGTTTGGGTATTTAACTTTTTACCAGAAAAAGTAACCTATCGGTACCTTGGAATGTTGACAGGAGAAAGCCTGCAACTAGCGAGAGCATTGGTTTGCAATTGAGACAACCTTTAATTGTTAGAAAGATGTTAAAGAGAAGGAAATCGATATAACTATCCAAATGTTTGGAACGCTTCAAATTAAAATGAAGGTAAATATTTTGTTGAGTGTTTGTTAAAAACATACAGTTTTGTAGCTTTTAATGTGTATTCTAATATCGTTTGATCAATTGATTTGTATTTAAACTGTGAAATTTGATAAGATTTTGTTTAATAGGCTTTTTTTTATATTGTTAAAAAAATAAAATTTAATATGGCCATGTATCCAAGTTGGTTATCTGCCATTTATTTATACTAAGGTTTCCCTTAAAATCTACAATTTACGAATTTGGTATTAAAAAGCTAATGTTAGTTCAATTATAAATTAAATGGTTTTATTTCTCGCGCAGTGCAGCGCGTGACGAATATTAAAAGAAAGCTAAGCCGGAAAAATTAAAAAATACAAGAGCGCGTGCGTTAAATAAATAAATATCTCTTTTTGATTTCGAGAAAGTACTGGAAAATTCTAGCGCGTGATTTTAAAATCTTATATAAAGGAGGAAAACATCTCAGTTTGTAGTAGTTTGCTTAGTTTGTTGTTTGTTTAGAAAACTGCTCTTGTTGATTGTAGCGAAGCGAATTCGCGGATTAGCGTTCTTTAGCTGTTTTGAATTACGTTCTATTGGACATTTGAGTAGTTAAAAGATAAACTACTGTGAGATATTGTAATACTGCATGATAATTTGAGAAAATTTAAGCATTTTTTGTTGTGATAATAATAAATTTTTGTTCATTTTTCATCGGACTTGTGCATTCATTTCATAACGAACCCGTACGCACGCAACACAATTTTTGGTGTCAGAAGTGGGATTTGAATGCCAATAACAAGAGCGATGGAAGAACAATTGAGACAGCTCATTACTGCTTTTGCTGCTTTCCAAGAAAAGATGGAAGCTGGCCAATCATCTTTTAAGAAGAAATGAAATTGGGCCAGGAATCCCTAAGGAAGAAATGAAACGGCAGAACAAATGAAGTTGGGCCAGGATCCGTTTAAGATCCGTTAAAGGAAATGAAATTGGGCCAGGAATCCGTTAAGGAAGAGTTGAAATCTCTTAAAAATGAGATGAAAGCAGGTCAGGGACGAAATGAAAAGAGAAATTACCTGCGTAATAGAAAATAAATTTGAGGCTATGGAAGGCAGAATAGACGCGGTTGAAACTAAAGTTGGACAAATAGAAGAAAGAGTTTCTTCGGTAAAAGAACAAGTAGAAGAAAGAATTTCTTCTGTAAAAGAACATATAGAAGAGAGAGTTTCTGCCGTCGAACAACAAATTGATGATAGGGTTTCTGCTGCCGTCGCCAAAGAAGTTGACAGCCTAAAGAAGTGCATAGCACGGTAGGAAACAATTCTGAAGGTTTCAAATTTTTATCGATGCCTGCTCGTTCCGTTCTGAAACTATCTACATATGATGGGAAGACCTCCTGGCAGGTGTATAGGACACAATTTTCTATCGTTGCGGATGCGAATGGATGGGATTCCCAAGCTAAGGCCTGTCATCTCGCCGCTTCTCTGAGAGCAGACGCAGCGGATATCCTTGCAGACGCTTCCCGAAAATCAAAGGCTAGATTTCGAAGCTCTATCCGGCGCTTTGGAGCTGCGCTTCGGCGAGAAATGTTTAAAAGACTACAGCAGGCTCCAATTAAAATCTCGTCAACAGAAGCCTCACCGAAACGCTTCAGGAGCTCGCCACGGATGTTGAAAGGCTGTCACATCTCGCCTTTTCGGAGTGCCCGACAGAAACAAGGGAAATCCTGTCCCTGCAATACTTTCATCGACGGCATCCGGATACTGAAATACAGAAAGCACTGCGAATGGCGGATGTTAAAGATCTGAAAAAGCGCTCTAGTGTGTACGCCATGAAATTCGAGGCAGCCCAGCAAGCAACTCTTAGAGATCGCTACCCAGTTCAGAGCTGTGCGAGTCCATGAGCCAGTGGATCAACTGATGGCTCGTTTAGATGATTTATCCAGACAAGTCGAATGCTTTGATACGGAGTAGGAGTGAGAACAAAGTGGCTCTAAGGTGTTGGAGATGTGGTTCTGAAGGTCACCTACGACGGAATTGCAGAACACCCCAGGGCACGGATAATAAAACGGATGATTTTGACAAGACCAGTGAATGCTTTAAGACGGAACATTGAAGTGAAACAGAAACTAATTCTAAAGTGCTGGAATTGCGGTGTTGAAGGCCACCTACGAAGGAACTGCAGAACTCCCCAGAGCACGGAAAATAAGGCATACGATTTAAACAGACAATTAAATGCCACGGAAGGAAAAGGACATGACAAGAAACCAAAGTGCTGGAACTGTGGAGCTGAAGGCCACGTACGAAAGAATTGCAGAACACCCCAGGGTACGAAAATTGAAATTTCTGAGCAACGACGCAGGAAACAAATTAATGACCATATCGAGGAACGGAGGTTGCCAGATAGTGAAAAACCTTGTTTTAAAGCTCTTAAAATTTATACAGTGAGTGGCAACAATAACGGACTGTCCATCAATGGGAATATCGATGGAGTTCCTTGCAGTATGATCATTGACACAGGAGCTAATGTTACCATCATTAGGAAAGATTTAGCTGAACAGTTTAAAGATAAACTTATTTGGACGCCATCCTGTGTTACCCTTCAGACTGCGTCTGGTGACAAGATCGACATAACTGGGAAGTTAAACGTAAACATCACGTTTGGAAGTGCCGCCTACCATCACACGGCATATGTGGCGGATATTACAGATCCATGCATACTCGGATTGGACTTTTTAAGGAAATACAATTTTTCCTTAGACTTGAAAAACAACAAACTGCTTTCAGGATCTGAAGACATGACTATCCATCCTAAGAAGGGATCCTCACCTGGAAATGCCGACGCTTTGTCCGAAAGAACCAGCTCGAGAAACAGCCGAAATCATGCTA